GAAACCATACAAATGTGTGGAACGTGGGAAGAGCTTCACTGATAGTGGAACATGTGCTAAGCATCAAAGAACCCACACAGGGGAGAAACCATACAAATGCATGGACTGCGGAAAGATGTTCAGTGATAGTGGAGCATGCATTAAACATCAAAGGACTCACACCGAGGAAAAGCCATATAAGTGCATAGAGTGTGGAAAGTGTTTTGGTGGCTGTGGAAATCTACATTCTCATCAGATAACCCACACAGGAGAGAAACCCTATAAATGCATGGATGTGGAAAATGCTTCAGTGAAGGCAGGAAACTGACCATACTTGAAAGAACCCACACAGGGGAGAAACCATATAAATGCATGGTATGTGGGAAAACCTTTAATGATAGTGGAAATCTGACTGTACATCAAAGAATCCACACAGGGGAGAAACCATACAGATTCATAGAATTTGGAAAGAGCTAGTCACAGTGAACATCTCTGCTCATAGTAGAGGGCCCACACAAGGAAGAAAATGTTTTAAACTCATGGGGTGCAGGAAGAGCTTCAGAAGAAGTAACGTTCTTACATCACGTCTTACATCACCACAAAAGGTAGAAAGCCTTACTAAAATCAAGTGAGAACAAGTTATATGCTCAATTTTTAATGCAGAGCTGACCAATGAAGATGTAGAACATAAATATAAATGTGGACGATAGTACGTTATGATGTATGAATGCAATTAAATTATATATATATATATATATATATATATATATATATATATATATATATATATACACACACACATACACATATATATAAAATAAAATCAAGTGAGAACACACCATTCCTTTGATCATCCAAGCGTGTAAGTTTAATTTTTAAAAAATAAGGAAAGGATTAGCCTGCCATTACTTATTTTTAGGAAATTCAAACAAAAATCCATCAGTGATACCTTTATTGGCCAACCAAAATGCACAATATCCTTGTTGCAAGCTTTCGAAGCTCTATGGGCTGCTTCTTCATCAGGCAAGATGTTACAAGCCACGGTTCCCAGCCCGTGAGGAAGGAAGCCAAAAGGAGAGATGAAGTTCTGGGTCATTCATATCTTGTTAGACTTGAGTAATTTTTAATTATAATGTCAATGTGATATCAATGCATGCTACTGTGTAATGTGGACACACCTGGAGTGCAAGGTGTATTGTGTAATTTGATGTTCCTTTATCATTGCAAGGTAGTACAAGGATCATGTCACAGGTACCATGTGCCTTATACATATAACTGCTGCTTATAAGAAGAGATAGATGCCTAGATTATGTAAATGTCAATAAACACAATGCACTTAGACTGTGTAATGTCTACGATAGGCTAGTATGCCCAGACTGAAACGTCTATCTGATACGATAGACTTCCACAGGGAGTAACTGCCTTTGCTGGTTGTTGTTGTTATGTATCTTCAAATTGTTTCTGACTTGTGCTCACCCTAAGGTGAACTTTTCATGAGGTTTTCTGGGGCTGAGAATGTGTGACTTGCCTAAGGTCACCCAGTGGGTTCCATGGCTGAGCAGGGATTCAAAACCAGGTCTCCAGAGTCTGAGTCCATTGCTCAAACCACTACGGCATACATCATAAATGTATGTATAAATATGCACAATATGTATATATGTGCACAAAAAATATACAAAAGATCTAAAGTGGAATGGATATTGATCTGCCTACTAGACAATACCGTCTTTTACAACCTCAAGAGGTGAAGTGACCAAAATAATGAACATAGCAGTAACCTAGCTAGATACAATGGTCAAGCATAAGGCAACCATGCCCATTTTCGTCAACAAATCACTTTCACTGTTTTTCAGACAAAACCCATTGAGGTTGAAGAGACATGGAGGAAAATGTCATGGACTACCAGAGTCCCTGACCAGGATCCCAAAGGGAACTTCTGCTGGATCCCATGACTTCTGCTAGAACCAGCATTTCCCTCCAATCTCCTGTGACCATCCCCAAATCCATGTATCTCCAAAATCTTCCTGGGCTGAGGGTTTGGATCTTTTGGAGCGTGGGAATGGGACAGGAGGGTGGAAAGAGGTGAGGAAGGACAGTCCTGATTCAGGGTCTCACAGTATATATAGACCCATGCTCTTCCATTTCAGTTTTCTCTGAAGATGCCAGCCACAGATGCTGGCGAAACATCAGAAAAAAACTTCTAGAACATGGCCACACAGCCCGAAAAACCCACAAAAAACTATGGATGCTGGCCATGAAAGCCTACGACTTCACAGTCCTGATTCAGTTGGCATTGAACACTGGACTATGCCACTTGGAGTAATGTCTGCGCTTCTTTCTAAGAAAACAAACAGAGTCAAGAAATATTAAAGTACTACAAATATAATAAATTGGTTGAATAGGTAAGTTTCTATATTTAAAACCTATACAGGCCATGGTCTGTGAGCAGTGAAGGCTTTTGTAAGAATATACACTCATCTGTTGACCTTTGTCTGGAGGGAAAAAATATGGAAAGCATAAGAATTTCATTGGACACCAATGAAGATGGTTGGTGTCTGGCTTCAATTTGAATGAAAATCTGCCAAGACCTTTGGCCATTAATAATAATAATAATAATAATAATAATAATAATAATAATAATAATAAATTTTTTATTTATAGCCCGCCCCTCTGCGCGGCAATCGGAGCGGGGTACAACAATTTGAAAACAAACAAGTTAAAACATTCCCTCGTCCCATAATCCAACCCCCCCATCCCCTTAAAACAGAATTAAACTAGAAGACAGTTAAAAATACAACAATAAAATAAAACATCCTCAATAACGCAAGGAATTTAGTCAGCTTGTGACTCCAGATCCAGTCCGATCTTGGAAGTGAAGCAGGGTCAGCCCTGTTTAGTACTTGGAGGGGAGACCGCCAACAAATCCCAGATGCTGTAGGCTCTATTTCAGAGGAAGGACCTGGCAAAACCACCTCTGAAATGCATGGGGTCACCATATGTCGACAGAGGCACATACATACACGCATTGATTCATGGCCTTCTCCCAAATGACTCTTTACAGGTTTGGGCTGTGTAGTTTTAAAATTTGAACAACTGATTATTTTAATAGATTTGTTATACTGTTCAATAATTGTTCTATACACACACTCCCCCTCTTCCTATCCATCTCTGTCTGTGTACATGGTTCATGTGCTGACTCTGTTTTCTGTTATTTTAGTGGAAAGGCGGTTATAAATAAACATGATCAATATACATGCAGGGGTAGCTGTGTTGGCCACTATATTTCTTTGAATGATCAATAAATGTTATTAGTGAGTGACATCTGTCATGCTTCTCTCTAAAAAGCTGAACTGTGATACTCCCTGCTACAAGGAAATTACTGGGGCAAAGTATGCATACAAAGCAGAACAAACAAAGTAGGATTGGCTACTAATATGAAATTTATCAGTGCTGGATTTTCAGTACGAGGGGAAAAAATAGCAGCACATAGCTGTAACTAAGGTTGCCAGAGTGAAAACTGGAGACCTTCAATGATTGTGTAAAAGAGGGAATGTCAGCAGGTAGTTGCTTGTCATGCAACCAGGCAACAAGTAGGAGCTGCTGAATTTCCCTCTCGTACGCAACCATTCAAGGTACAGGAGCCCACTCGAGTTTTCAATGGTAACTTTTCTGGGGGTCCTGCTCATTACAGGTCCCAGCTAAGACTCAAGTATCTGTCCGAGATGTACGGTAAATATTAAAATATAAATTCCAAAAAAGCAAACCTTGATTTTGCCATTTTATATACGGGGCACTGTTTCATTATGCTACTGTCTTGAATGAGACTTGAGCATCTACAGATTTTGATATCCACGGGGTTCCTGGAACCAAACCCCAGTGGATACCAAGGGCCGACTGTACTTCTACTGTCA